ATATATACACGGTAAGTCTAAAATGACACCAGTGCTACTGGTGTCAATTGCTTACACCATTTCGTTTGGGGTACCTACGGTGTAAAAATGACGGTTCTTACCCCCCTAACCCTCCCCTTAAACCCCTCACCCCAGCACCACCCTTGCCCCCCCACCCCAGCACCCCTCCCGCCCCCCCTCCCTACCCTGTCAGTAAACTGCCAGTGTACTGCCAGGGTAGGGAGGGGGGCGGGAGGGGGTGCTGGGGTGGGGGGAGCAAAGGAGGGGTTGGGGTGGGGGTTTAAGGGGAGGGTTAAGGGGGTAGGAACCGTCATTTTTACAAACGGTGCACCGTAAGTACCCCAAATGAACTGGTGTAAGCAACTGGTGTATATGTGACTGGTGTCATTTTAGACGCTCACACACACAGATATATATATATATATATATATATATATATATATATCTAATATAATTTTCTATTTAATTATTGGTAAACCGTAAAAAATTTAAAAATAAACGAATACTCTCCAACTAAAGTGATAGGTAGTATGATTAAAGAGGAAATACCAGTATTTTTTTTTCTATAATTGAAAAAAATGAACGGTGTAAAATTAATGTAGACATTTTTGGTAAGAAATTAATCTTTTTTTCCTTGCCAGTTTGTTGGCTACACGTAAGTAGAGGGACTTATGTTCTGTAACCGATGAAAAAGCTCAGAGTTTGCCCATGTGATCTCTCTCTCTCACAATCATACATTCCCCTTTCGATCAACTCTCTTGTCTTCTTCTACATTTATTCACAGTTTCGCTTCCGTCTGTGTCACTGTGAGTGAGTGAAGGGTTGGTGTTTTTTCTTCTTTTTCTTTTCTTGGTCGGAGAAAATGAAGAGATTCATCATCGCCGCCGGACAGAGGGCGGCGCCGTCGTCGCGATCAACAGGTTTTTTGACCACCTCCCGTTCTTTCTCCACCGTCGACGCGTCTCTCCGAGAAAATGTCCCCGTTCTCCCCAGAATGCCCTTCTTCGACTACTCCCCGCCTCCTTACGCAGGCCCCTCCGCCGCCGAGATCCTCCAGAAGCGCCGGCGCTATCTCAACCCCGCGATATCCCACTTCTTCAAGAACCCGGTGAGTTACACCTATAAAGCTCTCATCTTTACGGGTGAAAAGTAAAAAAGATTCAGAATCTCTGATTTGGTTTTATTTTTCTCCTTTTCTTTGCATTGGGCAGTTGAATTTGGTTGATGGGAAGATGCAGTACCTGTTCGACGAGGACGGGCGGCGGTATCTGGACGCATTCGGAGGGATCGCCACCGTGTGTTGCGGCCACTGCCACCCTGAGGTGGTGGAGGCGATTGTCACCCAAACAAAGCGGCTGCAGCATTCCACTGTGCTGTATCTGAATCACACTATAGCCGACTTCGCAGAGGCACTTGCTTCCAAGATGCCCGGAGATCTCAAGGTTCAATCTTTATTCTCACTTCTTTATAACATTCTGATACCCAATTAAGCCAATTTCATAAAAGTCAAAATTTTGTTAAGTGGGATTTCATATTTCAACATTGATCTTTCTTTGTCTATTTCCATCTTCTCTAACATTTTGTTGTTTTGAAGGTTGTTTTCTTTACGAATTCTGGGACAGAGGCCAATGAGCTGGCCTTGCTAATGGCGAGGCTGTATACCCAAACTCATGACATTGTCTCGATAAGGAATGGTTACCACGGCAATGCGTCTGCTACGATGAGTTCTACTGCACAGTCTAGCTACAAATTCAATATAGTGCAGGTGCATATGAATGTTACTAATATTTTCATGTAGTGGCAGAAAAGAACAAATCATTTACAAGTTAGTTTCTTTGCAATCTGAACTTCCTTCACTTGACTGGTGATTGTGTGTTATCTTAACTGGATTGGACAGACAGGAGTGCACCATACATTGAATCCTGATCAGTATAGGGGCGTGTTTGGCTCGGATGGGAAAAAATATGCTAGGGATGTTGATGATGTTATCACCTATGGGACAACCGGCCGTGTTGCTGGTTTTATTGCTGAAGCCATACAGGTATCAAGCTTTAAAACATACCCGTACACGAAAGCTTATTGCTTAGCTGAATGATGTGCCGTTTGCCATAACTTTGCATTAGTATGATATTATACACTTTAGGTCAAACCTTCACAGATTTGTTTTTAGCCACCTTCCTGAACACATACTATTGGTTTTGAACTCTTTTTATTCATCCGGTATGGGAGTTGGTTTATATCCCAACATATCATATGACCTTGGAGCTCTACTAATAGTTAAATCATGTTCTTGACAGGGTGTTGGGGGAATCATGGAACTGGCTCCGGGCTACTTGCCAGCTGTGTATAGTAGTATTCGAAGTGCTGGAGGTCTATGTATAGCCGATGAGGTCCAGTCAGGCTTTGGTAGGACAGGGAGCCATTTTTGGGGGTTTGAGGCCCATGGAGTTGTGCCCGATATCGTCACCATGGCAAAGGTAAAGTTTTTGCTTCGCATCCCAAAAACCCACAACACCTAGATGGCAAAAATCATGAACGGAGTTTTGTTTTTTTGGGGTTCTCATTAGGGAATTGGGAACGGCATTCCACTTGGAGCTGTTGTCACCACACCAGACATTGCAAATGCATTGACGAACCGGTGTTATTTCAATACCTTTGGTGGGAATCCCGTGTGCACAGCTGGCGGTCTAGCTGTCCTTAAAGTGCTGGAGAAAGAGAAGCTCCAACAGAATGCGTTAACCGTGGGGTCATATCTCAAAGATCGTCTCGTTTCTCTTACAGAGAAGCACGAAAGTATGTTCTCTTCGTTCATGTTCAGAACAAGAAAATAAAGTGTTCGAAAAAGATCTCATCTTTATCACAGATTTATGTACACTATGTCATGAACACTTAAAAAAAATAAAGGGGTGAGATATTTCTTCTATAAAGAATAAAATTGAAACCAAGGTTTGATGGATAGTATGTGAATTTTTGCAGTTATTGGTGATGTAAGGGGACGCGGTCTGATGCTAGGAGTTGAATTTGTGACTGATAGGAAGTTGAAGACTCCTGCAAAGATTGAAACACTGCATCTAATGGAAGAAATGAAAGGTGAATTTCTATTCTTCACTCATCTTCTAACAAAAACAAAATCTCTAGCATTTTATCTGATATACATTTGCTTACTATTTTCAGATATGGGAGTACTTATAGGGAAAGGTGGGTTTTTTGGGAACGTATTCCGAATCACTCCTCCGCTCTGCTTCACCAAAGAAGATGCTGGTTTGCCCTTCATCTCCCAATGACAATTTTTTTTATAAAAAATTTTCTTGATTTTGAATGCTAGTTTGGTCCTAATCCTATGTCTTATTATGTTTTTGTTTCATTGAAGATTTTCTTGTGGATGTGATGGATTACTCTATGTCAAGAATGTGAAGCGTGAAGTCGACCGAGCCATTGCTGCCTCTTCCTCCCGTGGAGGCAATTATTCTTTCGTCACATACTCCGTCTATTCACATTTAACTGACCATTATGTCTTTTGTTGCATACCAAATTGAATGAACATGGACACACATCATGTCTACATTCATTCAACTTTTGATGTAGAAGTCATAATGGTCAGTTAAATGTGAACAGAGGGAGTATCGTTTTCGTTGTTTGAATAGCCATCATCAAAGCAAAGATATATAAAAATAATTGCCATGTATGGGCAGGGTGATTATGGGACATCACCTCGTTGTCTCCATTTCCCACTCCATTATTCTTTGAATGTTTCATTGGCATGTTTATATATATATATGGTTGTGCTACAAAAAATGCAGTTTCTTTTGAAGTCTTTCTTTTCTTCTTTTTTGTGGACTCTTAAGTCTGGAAGTTTGTTGTATGAAATTTCAATTGTTAAGGTTGTTGTCTTCATGAACTATATACTCCGTACATAGTATATATTTGTGAGAGATTTTTGCTCTGTGCCTTTTATGTATGTGTTGGATGGAAAGAAATGACAAAAGAACATTTATCGGAATGACCGCAAGTGATTTTTGTGTTGGCCATGTGCATCAATTGTTCCGTGGCGAATGCTATGAGAGCCATAATCGATTGCTCACATAAATTTAAATTTAGTTATACATTTTCTTTGTACAACAATTTGTTTCAGAAAATTAAATTGATTGTGACCCTCATAAGTTTAAGAGATACTAGAGGAATATTACAAAACAACTAGAATAGCAAACAATATTAATAGGAAAATGTTCAAACCAAAATTTTAAAGACATCAATTTTTCTAGAATTTATAGATTACGTAAAATTTATGAATGTTTAATTTTACTTGGACTTAGGTTTTAAATCAAGATTTGTTTAGGTTTTAAAAGTTAAAAAGTTCATATGTTGTTTTAAGAGTTTTTTGGTACATTTACCTCCAAACTTTATATAAACTATATATTTTCAGAATTGCTAATCCATATGCTTTTTACTCTCAAGTCTCAACTTTAATTTTAATAAGTGCATATGTTTTTCTACGCGAACATGCAAAGATGTATCAGTGGTATCACTAATTGCTATACTTTTACTAAAGTACATGTTTTGTTTCCAAGCTTTTCAAAAATGCACCATTAGTCTTATATTTTAAGAAATTGGTGCATTGTGTAGTTTAAGAATGTTTTTAATTAAACTTGAATAAAAAGAAAAAAATTAAAAAATAACTTGGAAGATTTAGCTGCTAGTTGTCTATTTGGAAAAAATTTCTATTTTCTTTTCACACCTCACACAAATGTTATAGTTTGAGGGAAGAGAACAAAACTACAAATTTTATTCACTTGAGAATTAGCTCTGGAAATAAAAGTCATTCAATCTAAATGAGTTAACTTAAAAATTCATGATCAAATTTTAAAAAAAAAAGTAAATGTGAATTGAAGACGAGTCCAATAAAAAATCTATTTTTTTATTTGAAAATTATTTGTCTATAAAAAGAATATTACTTCAACAAATTATTTGTCTATAAAATAAAGATTACTACACAACACAATCTAAAATCACCCAAAACAAAAACCCTTCAACCCAAACTAGCATCGGAATAGAACCAGTTGTTGAACCGAAGCCTAAACAAACCGCCCTCTCCCCCCGTCGGGCGATTAGCAAAGCTCTTCTCCGCTTCTTCCTCGGTCGAATTCCCCGGCGCAGCTGGCCAGCTCCCTGACAGTCGCGATCGACCTTCGGAATATTCCGAGGCTATTAAAGGGTTGAAGGCGAAACATACAGAACTACCCGAGAGGAACAATGGGGAGATCGAAGGGAGACGGAGCCAGAAGCAAGTCTCGTCCCTCTAGCAGCAGGTTTTCATTCTTCATCGCATGAATTCGTGTTTCCCTTTTGTTAATGTTTGTTGTATCAATCGAAGGTTAAGACGAATCTATGCTGATACCTTTGCAGTTTGGCTGCGTCTCTATTGCCACAAGGGGCACCTGCAGTTGGATTCGGCGGCTTTGTTGGTAGCTCCCGTGTCGAGCCTTCGTTGCCAACAGAAGAAGCTCCTTTCACGGTACTCCCAGAATTTGTCTCTCTTTCTTTCCCCTAAATATGCACATATATTCACTATAAAAGTTGAATGTTTATATACTCACAGCGCTGTAATTGGGAATCACACCCGACCAGAATTTACTGCCAAAGCTTTCTGCTTTGGTTTATTTTGTGATTAATCATTTTGCAAATTTTAGCCAGTGGAAAATTGATAGCATCAAATTCGCGCATGCCGTGCTATTGTTAAAGCTGTTTTTGTGAGTATGTATTTAAAAAAAGTGCTATTTGGAATGCAGGAGATTGATAGTGAATTGGCACAACACCTGAAAAGGCTTGCAAGAAAGGATCCTACCACCAAAGTAAAGTGTCACTGCAAAACTTATTTACTTTTTAAATTTGGAGTTACTTTTTGTGAAGATTGAGCTACCAATGAGACAATAAGATGTTAAACTTACTAGTCTTTAGGATGATTTGAAGCAACATTTGTTCCTTCAGTTAAATCTTTGAAATCATGCACATGCATTTATTTTTGGGGAATTTACTTAAATAGTACTAAAACATAATGACTTTCCCTAAATAGCATCATATGTGTTTTTTCCCAATTTAGCACTTTTAGTCATTATCCATTAGTGGTTATTCAAGTAAATGTTTGCCATCACTGGACATTATTCCTCCTTATGGACATTATTAAGTGCTATTTAGGGAATAAAACAGTTTAAGTGCTATTTAGGGAAATGACTTAAGTTTTAGTGCTATTTAGTGCAAATATTTCTTTATTTTTATGTCATTGACAAAGGATTTTGATCTTGTATTATCCCCAGCTTAAAGCCTTGGCATCACTGTCTCAGCTATTCAAACAGAAAACTTTAAAGGCGATAGTACCTATCATTCCACAATGGGTATGCTTACTATCTCGGAAAACAAATTCTGCTTATATATTCTCTTACAACATATTTTATGTGGCATGCCAATGCCAACATTTCATTCATATTCACTACCCCCACCTCCCACATGCACACCCATACAGTACACATATACACTTGTGGCTTAATGGAGCGATCAATTTTATAATTAGGCATTTGAATTCAAGAAGTTGCTGCGGGATTACAATCGAGAGGTTCGGCGGGCAACTCATGCAACCATGACTAATCTTTTCAACGTTGTTGGGTTAACATCTTATCTTTGCCTATAACAAATCTTTGTAGCTTGACTGCTCTTTAAAATTTAGATCTATGATAAAAGAAAACAGCGCTGTTCAAATGACACCAATGTTAGGGTTTTGACGGCCCTACGGTGCTCCATTGGCCCCGGGTCCTATGCCAAAGCCCCCCGTGCCCCAACCCCCCTTTTGACGCTGATCCAGCCCCCAGCAACAGTGGGGAGAACCTCCTACCCTCCCCTACCCCGAATTGACCGGGTGTCACCCTAACACTGGTGTCATTTGACCCATTCTGAAAAGAAAATTTTTGTTTGAAGTGATTGTTTTCTTATTTTGTGCATTATGTCTCTTAATCCTTTTGTGCTCTTCTAAGAACTCTCTGGTCTCTCAGTTAGGACTCGTAAGTAGTAACTAAATGCACCTTTTTTGGTGTCCTAAAAAAATCCCCCCACCCCTCCACACAAACATTCATGAAAGACATGAATAAGAAGATAAACCACAAGGCCTGTATATGACACTGACACCTTATTTTGTTATTTGGTAGTCAAAACTGTATACTTTTATAGCATCTCACTGCCTAAGTTGCACCGAGACGGGGACATGGACTTATACGGGCAAGTTTTTAATAATTTATAAAGGATTTGGGTGTGGGGACGCCCCCAAGTACCCGACCAGGACGTTCCGGGGACAGGAAGCCACACCAATTTTGAGAATCCGTGCAACATAGCTCACTGCATGTTTTGCATCGAGAACCTTTGGTTCAATTGTCCGTGATGCAATAATAATTCTTTCTTTTTGTATATCACCTTAGCTTTGAACGGCTACAGCCTCATATTATCCTTCCTCTCTTTCATCATCACTAATTCTTCAGTGATTTTGATGCTTATTGATTTGAGACATTATACATAACCTTGTTCTTGGAATAGCTTTTTCCTTAATATTGAGAGGTTCCACTTTGTTTAGTTCTTAATCGGTTCAATAGAGGGTCACAAAACAGGTACTCCGTATATCCAATTGCTATGTTATTCGAAACCCATGTCGGTTCGGTCCTCTCTCTAGGATTTACTGGAAGAATGTTGGCGTCGCCTTGCGACGGCTTGACAGCGACTTGATGGAGTTGCTCCCTCGACTAGGTCAGATAGAGAAGTCTTTTTTTAATTATAAAATAGCAAAATGACTCACCTGGTGGACGCTAAGGGAAACAAAACAAAAGCATTTGATATCTCTTCTTAAATGAGTTAGATCTGAATTGATCCTCCCCCTACCCTTGGCGTTGCCAATTGACGGTTCTCACCGGACAGAAGTCGCGGTCAGTTGTAGATCTGAGTAAATCCTTTACCTGGTGTTCATGATTTCACAATGTGTTTTGAGACTTCATTACTTTGTTTTCTATGGATATTGAACTCTGAGGTTTGAAGTTTAAGAGTAAGTTTAAGAGTTAGTGAATTACAATACGTTATGTGACATATTTATATTAGTGTTACTAATGTACTATAATTTTCATTTAACTTGTCACCTATGTGTCGCCTAGGCAGTCCCCTAGTCAACTTGGGGTCCCGGCTGTACACCGGGGTCACGCCCCACTCATCTTGGTGCTGTGATGACTATGGGTTGCATGCATCTTGACCCCTGATCCCCAATGAAGTTGGGATTATGATGGGCTTGTTGTTTTTATTAAATACTCCGTAACATAATGTACTCTTTGTCTTAAAAGAATGCTCGATTCTGGATATGCTAGTTCATTGAATTTATTTGTTATTCTTCATTTTTACGCCTTCAGAAGAGAATTGGCTCCGCATTTGAAGTCTATGATGGGACCGTGGTGGCTTTCTCAATTTGATTCAGCTGCTGAAGTTTCTCAAGCTGCAAAATCCTCGTTTCAGGTCTTCTATTAGTTCTATACAGTAATCTTACTACTGCAAGTGATTATTTTTGCCTCATCTGCTTAGAAAATGTCAACAGCCTCAAACTAAAGTGATGAATGATTCGTTACATACCATTCATAGTGTGCCGATACAGTACTCTATTGGGCCTCGGGATGGGTTCTATCCCCAACCCTCCCTCCCCAAACCCCCCCCATCCCTCAGGACCCTGCTGACGCCGACCCCCCTTTCTGAAACCATTTTGGAGTCCAAAGCCCCTCTCGCCCAGGAAAGCAGGGACCTCCCCCAACCTGCATCACTGAACCCAGCCCCAGCCCGGGGCCAACGGTGCAATGTAGGGAAAATAATGCCGTGTCTGATTAGGACACCACCAAGGACCAGTGTCAAAACAATCATACCAACGTATTTTGCTTTCTTTTTTCTTAATGTGCTTTCATGGATATAATAGGCAGCTTTCCCAACAGAAGACAAGAGACTAGATGCTTTGATTTTATGCTTATCTGAGATATTTATGTACATAGAAGAGAATTTGGAGCTTAATCCTCAGAGTATATCTGGAAAAATGACAGCACTAGATGAACTGGGAGAGATGCACCAGCAGGTAATATTCTTTAGCACCATGATTTTCTATAAATGTAATGGACACGATAATAGAATATATCTCAATTAATCACCGTCTCATGATGTTTTCCATGCATGTGGAAAGAGTCTATACTCTATAATGATGGCGGTTTTTAAGTTTTTCATCTCATTACTCCACTGATTTTTTTTTGTAAAGGTTAATAATATCAAGTAATTTTATAAATTTAACTAGCACTATAAATTACTGCCACCGACCCCACCTAGGTGGGACTCAGTTGCAGATAATGATGATATCATATTCTATAGAGAAAAAGAACAACACTTCCGGTTGCTCGCGATTTCCATCGGACTGTATGCATATTGTAATTGATTACTATTTCTAAGCAGGAGTTGGGTTTTCACACGTATAGTTTCCTCTAGGCTTGATTTGTTTATGAAATTATGGTTATATATAATTTTTTGTTTTCTTTGTCAATAGTCGCATAAATTTTATTTTCATGCTCATTTTAATTGCACTCCAGGTCATAATTTCATCACTGTTTGCTTTGGCTACCCTTCTTGATGTTTTGGTTGACATGCAATATGAAAGGCCTGCTTCAGAAGCTGCATTAAGACGAGTATCAAAAGCCAGGGATATGTCTATATCGCTTGCTGTGAAGTTGTTCTCCACTCAAAAGTCCTTTCTAGAGTTCTTGAAGTCTCGAAGCCCTGCAATTAGATCGGCTGTGTATTCAGTGATAAGAAGTTTCATAACAAATGTTCCTAGTGTTATTGAGGAAGCAAACGTTAAAAACCTTGCACCTGTAATACTTGGTGCTTTCAAGGAAAATGAGCCTTCATGCCATTCATTAATGTGGGAGATGATTTTAATGTTTTCTAAAAGATTTCCAGAGAGCTGGATGAACCTGAATGTCCAAAAAACTGTTTTAAATCATTTTTGGCAGTTTCTGAAGAGCGGTTGTTTTGGATCCCAACAAGCATCCTACCCTGCTCTTATTCTATTTTTAGATGTTGTACCTCCTAAAGCTGTTGTAGGGCAGAAATTTCTACTTGAGTTTTTTCAAAATCTTTGGGCAGGAAGATGTTTTTGTAATTCAACTGTAGACCGTCAAGCATTGTTTCGTGCCATAAGAGAGTGTTTTCTTTGGGTCTTCAGAAATTCTTCAAGGTAGAATCTTCTTAACTTTTTGATTCAGAGTATCTTGTATTCTATGCAACTTGCATTCAGTTCACTACCTCACTGGCAACTTGATCTGAGTGGTGTATGCTTGAATATCCTGTCTTTTCCTCTGACTGCTGCTATGCTCTTTGTGTCAGATATTTTGATGGAGCAGAAGCCATAAATAGTTTCCATTGTAGTCTTACTGATCAGATCCTTATTAAGCTCTTGTGGCATGATTACCTGCACTCCGAGAACTCGAAGGATAACAACGATTCTTCCTCAGATGCATCTTTTAGACCAGGACAACTAGGGCTTAATGGGAACAGTTCAGCAGGCTATTTTCAGGATCTTGGGAATTGCATCATTGAAATTCTGTCAGGGATCAATTCTCTAGAGCATAATATGCTCATGCTTTTCTGCGCTGCATTTCAAGAGACCTGCCTGGGAATATTTCAGTTGCCAGAGAGCTCTATTAAGTGTGTAGAACAGGTAAAACGAGTGACGGAGTTCTTGTTATTATTGGACCAGCAGGTTGTGCAGAAAAGTGAAACTTGGCCTTTCTCTGATCTGGTTGGACCAACTTTGGTCAAGTGTTTCCCTTTGATAAAGGAAAAGGAACATGTAAGTTAATCATCCTACAGAGCGATAAAGGAACATTATCAACTTTATATTCTTCTACCTTTGTATTTCTTTCTATAAAAGCATTCAATTTATCTCATCATCTTATTTATTATTTTTAATGATGTTTCCTTTAGGATTCCCAGTATTCAGTGAGATTCATGGTGGCAATTGTTCATATATTTGGTCCACACAAGATAGTTGAAGAACTTTCAGGTTCAAAGCTGGGAGAGGAAGATTTTTTGCATGCTTTCAGTGAAACTTTTATTCCTTGGTGCTTACAAGATCACAGTAGTACCATGACTCGACTGGATCTCTTACTTGCTTTACTTGATGACCGATGCTTTTCAGAACAATGGGATATCATTATTTTTCATGCAACAAATCTAGAATACCTTAAAAACACGGTTAAGAATTCAGACTCTGACAGCATATCTGTGTTGGCTATGCTTTTAGAGAAAGCAACAGAAAGAATTCAAAGTATTGGTCATCTACAAGGCTCTTGCGCAGCAAGTTGGCAACATAAACTTTTGGACTCCACTGCAATTGCAGTTGTCCGTGAGTTTCCTTCTTTTGGAGCAGGCAGTGCTCGTTTTGTGCGGTAGGTGACAGATCTAAT